TACCTCTTTATCACTTGTGTTTTGCTTTTATCATCCCCATTTTAATGTGATGTGAAAATAGAAAGAGCTCCTTCTCTGAATGTACATGGTATCAGCCAAAAGACAAGACCTTTGAACACTCAACTTTATTGCCATGAAATCAATTCCCTGTAACATTTCAATTAGATTTATTTAATGTAATTTCTAATTGAAAAGGCAACAAATCAAGAGCCTTCCTCCAGCGTAGGTAATATTTCATGCTGATTGGAAGTCACACTTAGAAAGCTTCCTGTTAGAATAGTTTCCTTTTTTTCATTTAACTGATTGTTTTCAAGTACCTGAGAAGGATTTCTACAAGGTAGTCTGTGCCTGTAAATTAATTTTACTGAAACAAAATGAAATATGCCTATGTCTATTTTTATTTAAGGTAACAGTTTCCACCAAAGAGGAATTTGACATTTTTACTTTCTCATTTTCCATAATAAGCATCACCCTCAGTCTGGCTTAAAATAGCTGTTTGATGCTAGGCTTGCTTGAGGTTGGCTTCTCGTCTTTGCTAGGGGTTGTACATGAGCAGGTGGAGGTTTGACACCTTTTACCATAAAGTAAGGCAGATCTAAAGGAAATGGGAGTTCTGAACGGAACGTAACTTTTGCACCATGCAGGATGCATTCGTATTTGTATAATGTTTGCAAACGCTGACATCTGCATAATTCCCAACCATCCCTCTTTGGGTGGCTGGGAGCTATGCAGATGTCAGTGTTTGCAGTCAACCCCCTCTGTACCTCTTTCCACCACAGTTGTTCCTCTTTAATGTCACCTGTATTAAGCGATGAAGATTGAATGTGTCATTGTGTAATTTTGTAATTTCATATACTAGTGTTTTCAATGCTCATCTTCTTCAGGATCAACTTTTTTCTTTTAAGTTTTGTCTTTTAAGTCTAATATCAACAGCTGTAACTGTCTTTAATTCCAGAAAAAAAAATGTTTTTGCATGTGATGGGGTTGTTTTCTATTCCCACCTACCTGATGTGGAAGTATGTGATGTAGATTGAAGTAGGATTGATTGTGTTAAGGTTACAATTTTTTTTCTAAGTTTTTTTTTTGGGGGGGGAGGTTTCTGTTTTTTTATTCAGCACAGGTTTTCTCTACTTTTTAAAGAAAGCCTGTTACTTTAAAAACCGGTCAAAGCACATATTGGAATAAAATGCAGGCTACAATGGCAACGAAAATTCAGATACCAGCATTTGTGCCTGGTTTATTTTTGTTCTGGTTCTACCACCCTATTGACAAATTCGGCTGTCCATCCCAGTGACTGGCCAATAGGGGTTGTTTGGGCAACTAATGAATTAACCATTAAGTCTTAAAATGCTGGGATTTTAAAGTGACATGTGTAGTTGTGAAACTGAACAAACCCCCAATAAACAAATGACCACTGGCCATATTTGGCAAATGGTAGGTTTTCACAACTAGTATAAAATGTGCATGTATCCCCAAATAGAGGATAGCACATTTGCAATGTGTTATTTTCTGCAAAAAAAAAAAACTTTCTTACAAATAAAACATTTTTTTAGGTGCAGTTGCAAGTTAATGCCGGTTAGCATTCACCTCCATGCTGTCTAAGATCTGCTGTAAAGTACCCTGACACCCAGAAAAATCAAGGTAACATGGTAATGCAAAGAAGCATCTATGTTTCCTTGTCAGTGGCACTGTTCCTGTACCTTCCACTGAATGCATCTTGCTACTTAGTAAGGCCTCTTGCCAGAGGGCTAAACGAGTAGTAAGGCACTTCCAGTTGGTAAAGGTGGGCTCAACCGCACTGACCAGAACAATATGCAGTACAAAGCATCTCAGGTTTTGAGATTCCAGGGGAGTGGTACGGGGGCTTTCTGACCCTCTCCCTACAACAAGCAAATTAAAATGAGTTGAATGTTAATTTATTTGTATTTTATTTTTTGCCACAAGGATATCTGGATACTTGTATATGTTTTAGGTTGTGCAATTAAAATTATATGGCACTAAGACAGTAGCACAAAGTATTAGAAACTCTATCGTTGTCAGGAACCCAGTTTATATTGCTGTTAAAGAAAAGCTGTTGTGATGGTGCTAAAGGGCTGCCAATGTTCTGACCCCAATGACTTTAATACTTTCTAAGTCTATGGGGGTGATTTACTAACCTAAACACACGCACGCAGCAGGTGCGTGTGATTTTTACACAGCAAAACGTATTTATCAACCAAAAAGTCTCTAAAAGCATATTTCCACTAATGCCATATATGGAAAAAATCATGCACATGATGCATATATAATGCTGCTTCACAGTTTAGACAAAAATGGTTAGCTCATGCATTTACATTCCTGCATTCATCAACGCAAGCAACACAATGTAGAGCTAATTTACACAACATCACCTTGCAATTCATGCAGGGCTTTGCACAACACACCTGCTGGGTGTGTACACACTACAAAGGTGTTTAGATTCCACCAATTGATCATGCTGGGAGGGAACACACTACAGAGGTGTATACTTGTTCGTGGCGTGTTTATAAGGTTAGTAAATCAACCCCTATGACTCAAAACGGGTATGCAGGTCAGTAAAGTCCTAACTCCTGATCTGCAAACGCTTTGCGAATCAGTGACTTAAAGTACTGAGGCAAGAGGGTCAGTATGACAGCCAGACAGCTTGCTTTTTATAAGAAGAGTTCTTCTCATGGCAGGTTTCCTTAAGTGTTTTTGATACCCCCAGAATAAAAAATAAATTCCTTTAATAAAAGATCTTGATGTGTATAATGATTCAATCTGGTACAATTAAATGCACTGTATTCCTTGAGATGTAACTCGGTTAATTAAGCATTTTTTAACCATGTTGGCATCATTGTCTACTTTTAGTACAAGCTGGACTAGAGCCCCAAAATACCTTTTTTTTTTTTTTTTTTTTTTTTTTTCTAGGAGGGGGTACTTCCTCTCGATTAATCTGTAATGGGGTTCACTCAAAAGAAGATATTTTGTCTTTAATCCCTCTCCCTAGCATGCTTGTTACAGTAGCCACCTGGAGATTGCAGCCAAGCAAGATCAGATTCCCTCTGTTGATCTTGGCTAATTGCACAATAAATCTTTTAGATAAAGTAGTGACCAAAATATTACCATTTGATTTAGCAGCCATCATTCTGCACATAAACATGCTTTGAAAGGATGTATTTGGCAAGTACAGGGGTGTGGAATTATCGCCCGACGCCCAGGATATGCAGTGCCAGGCGAGTCGTTTATTTCTACATTTAGCCCTACTTTGTGCAGGCAGTAAGGCTAAATGTGGTGAAAATAATCCAGTAGTACTTGCGTCGAAGATGGTGTTTTCAACACGAATCAAGCCTTTGAAGGTCTTTTGCATATTGGTACTGTAAATCATATGTACAGAATTATCAGTGGTTAAGACACCAGATGAAACCTCCCATAAACTGATATGTAAGCTGCATTTGCCACGCTCTTCCTTTTAAAAATGGCTGCCTTACTGATCCAGCCGTTTCAATACTTTCTAAAACACTGACCTAGATCAAGTCTGTGGACTTCACTTGCCACCTGCTTGTTCTGGGTCAGTGATTTAGCCACAGCTATCATTGTAAGAAAGTCAGCAGGGACCACCTAGGTATTTCTGTAACGAGGTTTCTAATAAATCAGTTGATAAATAGATGATTTTCTTTCTATAGCTTTTTCATTGCTGCTGTATTTCTTTCCAGGTTAACAGCTTCTATTTCTTGAGTCTAACATCTTTGTAGTACTATGCCAGAAGCGTAGGCACACAAGCAAGCCCTTAAATTTTGCTCTTTAAAAGTGCACTAATTATTGATAAAAGATCTAAGGGTACATTGCCAATTGTTATCCTTAACAGTAATATGTGCAAAATTGCAGGTGCCCTATAAAGTGACCCTGTCAACACTGGGTGTATACCATCATAGGGGAAATATACTTAGCTTTCTGGTGGTCTGTTTGTTAAAATGCTGTCACTTGACTGCTGCAAATATTCAACTGGTCAGATTGGTCGAAAACTAACCAGGCAGTGGTCATTCTCGCCTGTTTATTCTGTAGTGACGTACAAACTGGCAGGGCAGCAGGTTTTCCACACAACTGGAAGTTTAGAATGCTTGCAGTGGTTAGGGAGCAGCTAAGAAGCAATGTTTCAACAAACAGGCTGCCGGAAAGGCAAGCATGCTGCCGCATCTATTACAGGTATGCTTTACCAAAGTGACCCTTTGCTGACCTGGTCAATTTAAAGCAAAGAACATTTATTTGCAAAAACAACCAACTACATTCTCATGGTTTTAGTTTTTACTTTGAACATTTTCAGTATGGAGGCTTATATAGGATGGCAGTAGATGCACAAAAAGTATTGCACTGCAATAGATTTTTATTTGGTGTAGGAGACATATCTGTATATTTCAGGTATGGAAGTCACATTTACTTCTAGCTAAATTCGAAGAATGCTGATTTACACAACGAAATTTGCATTCGTTTGCATAAGGATAGGGCCAAAAAAAAGCTTTACTCATTGATATTTCTGGGTTGTATTATTATTCAGTGTTTTTTTAAGACATTAGGATTGTTCTTTGTGTCCAGTTAAGGCTTTAAAAATGAATCCGCATTTAGCATGTATACAGAGCAGCACGCATTCTAAATCTTTGTGCAAGTTATGCATTTTGAATAACAGCATGTTAAATTTTGGTCTTTAGTAGGAATTTGTATGCATCTCAATGAATCTTATTATAATAATGCTCTAATATAGTACAACTGTAAATCCAAAATGTCACTGAAACCTGGCAGTGTTAATTGACTTGCTGCCCAAACCAAAGTAGCATACATCATCTTCTTTTACTTATCTGTATTTGTAAATTGAAACCATGCCTATATTCTTTGCAACAAGGTGCTTTCAATTGGCAGAAATGTGAAAGGTAATTGGATTTTACAGGTTAATCGAAATATTGACAGATTCATGTGCAGCAGCCTGATTGTGTTCTTGTTCTTGTCAGGCATTAGAAAAATTCTGCCGTGTAGAAGGAGGCTTTTCTGGAGTCAGAGATGTTTACGCTACACACCCAAGCCACGATGATGTGCAGCAAAGTTTTTACCTTGCAGAGACACTCAAGTAAGTATGTTCAGGAACAAGAGTGTGATTTGTGTTTTAGTATTGGAGCAGATGACCACAGGCTTTTACATTGACTTCCAGTGAAACATGAGAAGTTGCAAAACAATACCGGCGCCTTCAAATCCAAAAGAGCCCAGCAGTAAAAATACAGCAAACACGATGGAGGCAGCTCCCACAGATTAGAAGGACCACCAGTCTGAGAAAAGGAACAAAAGAGAGCACCTCCATAGTGTAAAAATTTTATTTAATAGTAAAAACACACAGCTCATGACCAAATGACCAAAATTAACTGAAGACAAATGGTTGATGAGAACTGTAAAGTCAGAACTTGGGAAATGACTCTTTATAGTTTTCATTAACCATTTGTCTTCACTTAATTTTGGTCATACTATACAAACTATAGGGGTACGTCGTGTTTATTACTTTCCTTTAAGCTCAGAATCGAACTCCCCGCTTGGCTGCCGGTTTAATATGTCAGTCTGTTATTTATTGAGTAACTCCTACGGGGACGAATATTTAAAAGTAATAGTTACTGTCAGTCTGAAACACACTCTTGTCAATTAGGCGGTTATCGCATCCACATTATGTCCATTCCATGTATGACATTATATTGTGGATTAGACACATACAGACATTAAACAATACAGACTAATGATTTTAGGCCAATTTATTTATGATTATGAAGAAATGTAATTGAAGACTGTTTTAGAACAATTAAGCATTTGTATTTGCTTTCACACAGCTCTCGTGAAACTGCAAATTTGATCATGCATCTGCCTCTGGGATCATTAAACCTATTCATGTTAGCAGGGCAGAATTGCAACTCTATTACTGCAGTGTACTGGATGTGTCTACTATGGATCATTGAACCTGGTACACACTTCCAGTACACTGCATTAATAGTTACAATTCTCCCCTGCTAACATGAATAGGTTAAATGATACATAGTACAACTATATGAATGTACTATGGATCATGATTTAAACTATTCATGTTCGCAGGGGAGAATTGTAAATCTATTAGTGTAGTGGAGGTGTGTGCTGTATATATGTGCTACATATACACTACACACGTCCAGTACACTATAGCAATAGATTTGCAGCCAGCCCTGTGCCAGCTTCCCTCACTCAGTTTCACTCCGATCCCTGTTGCCTCACGTGGTGCCTCTCGTAGTCGGCGCTGGGCAGGATCGCTGCATCGTGTCTCGGTGCTCAGCTTGTGGGAGGCGCTCACAGTTCTGCCCTGCTAACATGAATAGGTTAAATCATGATCCATATACAGAACACACGTCCAGTACACTGCAGTAATAGAATTACAATTATCCCCTGCTAACATGAATAGGTTAAATGATCCATAGTACAACTACATATTATGTACTGGGATCTTTCAACCCATTCATATTAGCAGGTGAGAATTGTAAATCTATTGCTGCAGTGTACTGGACATGTGTAACGTCCATGTACCATCTACTACATATAGAGTACACTGCAGCAATAGATTTACAATTATCCTCGGCTAACATGAATGGGTTAAATGATCTATAGTACATAACATGTACTTGTACTACGGATCATTTAACCCATGAATATTAGCAGAGGATAATTGTAAATCTATTGTCTGCAGTGTATACTCTATATGTAGTACATAGAGAGAGCACACTGCAGACAATAGATTTACAGACAGACGGACAAAAATAAAAAACAGTATTTTCTTTTTTTTTTTTCCTTCTACAACCTCAAGTACTTCAGCTAGGTAGCCACTCCCCTTTTCAAAACACAGTCAAACTCAGTCCCAAATTAGCTTTTGCTCAGCCTGCTCCTGCAATGCCAATCCACCTTCTGCTCACACAGATTACACTCAGTGATGCTTTGTACTACAGTCAAACACCAACAATTGTTTTGCTTCCTCCAGTCACATGCATGTGTTATCACCCCCTTCTCCTCTTCACTCAGCAGCCAGACCTTGTCACAGCCCAATCAATCAATCAAGCTAGTTGCTTGTTACTGGAGTCGCTCTCACTTTCTCTCTCTCTTCCTTCTGACGTTCAAGCAGTCGCTCCGATCTGACACCCGTTCAGCTCCCGCACCCCCCTCCTGCACGTGTCAAACAATCTCTCTGCTTTGCTCAGCTAATTTAGCTGGCCGGTCGCCGGCCAGCTAAATTAGGACCCCACTAATTCTCCCGAACAGCAGCCGGAAGGTAAGGGAAAAAAAAGCGCAAGCTTCGGCGCTATGTATCGGGGCATTTTGACAAGTACTTGTCCAAATGCCCTGTATCGGTCCCCATACCGATGCTAGTACCGGTATCGGGACATCCTTAATTGTGATACTATCCCATTTAGCAGTATATTTATATTGATTTAGATTTCCTATTCTTACCCAGAGCCTGCACAAGGTTTAGTCCAGTTGCTGATCTCAGCTGTAGCCATAGCTGGGAAGTCACACGATGTCAGTATTCAAGAAGTCTTTTCAGGCAGAACCTTAGTAGCCAATCATTACCTGGCCAGTGATGGTGCTCATGGTGACTTTCAGCTTCAAAGTTGGATCACTTTAAAGGAAAACTGCCAGGAGAAATGCCTTTTTTCTTTTTATTAATACTAGCTATCATGCTTAACATTCTGATTAATTAGCCATTTACGGACATTTATATGTGACCTGTCGCATTTAACTACTGAAACCAGAGGATCAGCATGTTACCCAGACATCCTGCACTTTCAGAAGTACGTTGGACATGGCAGTAGCTCTTTAATGCCAAGTTATTAATGATATCACAGTTCACATTTAGAAATGAGGTTATTAAAATCTCAACCACAGGTTTGTATAGGTCCAATACGCATTTACTTTTCCAACTGTTCTTTTTGAGGAAAGTTTGCTGCGATGATCTAGTGAAATCTTTCGGGTGTACACACCTACAGTGTGTTTGGTACTGCTTACTTTTTACATGTAAGAATCGTATAGTAATTGCAGCACCCATTGCGGTTTTAGCATCACGTCACTGTCAGACTTAGGCCCTTTTCACATGGCCAATGCAAGGCTATGGACAGCCGTGTATGTAAATGGACAAGTGTCGGTTCATTCCCGGTTAACTCCGGGTCCAGAGAAACAGACTGATCAGAGATCCATTTTGCTGTACCGGATAAGTGGTAATCTGATGTAAACGGACATGTGTACATTTACATCAGATTCCCCATAGACAGACATGGGGTCCAGCAGGTTCTGTTTTTTTTTTCCCTCCATGGTGGAGGTAAAACTGTACGGACATGGATGTCACAGCGGTGACATCTGCTCCTTACTGCTGTGATCAGGAGAGGATCTGTGAACAGATCCCCTCCTGATCAGCCCATGTGAAAGGGGCCTTCATGGTACTACAAGGTTAGGCAGATGCTAAATGACTTATTCATTCACTGTTATTCTCTTTCAGATATCTCTACTTATTATTTTCGGACGATGAGCTTTTACCATTAGAACATTGGATTTTCAACACTGAGGCGCATCCATTGCCCATCAACCGAAAAACTGACAGAACGAAAGAAGGCTTGGCTGAATAAACGCAATTCCAATTGCTTTCTTTAAACTTTTTAATTCACTGCATTCCTTCAGTAGTCCATTTGACTGATTTCAGGAGATACATCCTTATTCATGTCAAAGATTTTACCTGAAGTTGTGTTCCAACATTTGCAGTCTGTCATGTTTACTTCAAGATTCCTGGATGATTCTAGAGCCATTCCGTTGTGATCTTTCAACTGATTGTGAATTGAAAGCACCTTTCCCTCGTGGACATTCCATTTAGTTAGACAATCATCACTTGCCATATAGAAGAGAACGGTCTGCACTTTGTTACCATTTCTTTCCTTTCATTTGACTGCAAAGATCTTTCCTCCTCTATGAGGAGATTGTCTGCTTTATGCTGTAATATTTTGCCATGTTGCAAAAAGCCATAAAGAATAGTATAAAAGAACCTTTTTTTTTTTCCTTTCCAGTTATATGTGAATCTGATTTGTCTGAAATTCTTCTAAGACAAATTGTGTAACTGTGACACCTTTCCTATTATGCGGGTTTTCTTTGCTAAATTGTTCAGAAGAATTTCGTTTTTATTGAAAGTGGGACAAAAATAACTTGATACCATGCAGGCGTTACTCTATTTTTTTTGGCAATTATCTTTGTTTTCTTGCCTGTGTTAAGCGATTAGTGACCTGATCAATTATATTAAGCTGTTCTGAAAGTATTTTGAATATAAAGGTTTAGAAATATCTATATATCTGATCTATAGACAATCCAGGTTGTGCAAATAAAATTTTTAATATGTTCAAATTATTTTTCCTAGGGAAAGATTGCTCATCCTTTGTAGCTGAAAATCATTTCATTTCAAATTGTGTATCTGCTCTAAGCATCGAAATGTCTGTGGAACCCCTACATTTAAATATTGTAAATGATGTTAAGGCTAAGTTGGATATTTGAAATAAGGGGGTTTGATAAGCCTGGATTTCAATATTTAAATGAGGAACTTATGAGGCAGCATTCACACAAATCAAGTTTATTGACTTACATTACATGTGTGTGTTCTGGGCAAATAAGGTAAAAATAAACACTTTTCATTTTCTAGTGCAGTTTAGAAAATGAGTCAATGCCTTGTTTCTGTTAATAACACCCCGTTTTCAATAATGTACTTTGTCATTACAAAACCAACATTGTGCAATTATACCAGACATTGTAACTGATGCAATGAAGGAAATGATTTATGTCGATTAGAAGTCGCAGGGAGCTTGATGGCTGTAATAAGTTGTGTGCGTCAGCAGCATTGAAGGCTCATGCAACCACAAATCCTGTGATGTGTGCATTTCTATATAGCACCTTGCTATTTACATGTAACTATATAGAAATTTTAATTCTAATTTTACACTGACATTCCTTTTTCTAGATCAGAGTCCAGTGGTGTTAGATCTATGTATGTATAGGCAGATCATCTTTGATCCAATAAATGACCATAATGCTGGAACATTGTTCACTATTGACATTTTTGCATAAGTGTTTTTATTCTAAAAAATGTTCGTGGATCTGTCACCAAAGGTTTGCTGTTCTGCCTGTGAAATACTCTAAGAAAATTAGTCATTGAAGAAATGCTCTAATGAAAAGTAGGGTAAAAAGATTACAGGTATATGTGTTTCATGGCAGGGAAAATACCCTAAGTGACAGGTCCTCTTTAAATAGGGTCCATTTTCATTTATGCATTCCTTCATTTATGCATTCCTTCCTTTGCATTCCTTTCCTGTCGATGTATTGTCACTTTTGAATGCGGTCAAAATGTTCCTTCTCTGTACAGTCATAGTATTTGAGACTTCCAGTCTTTAGCTTCTTTTTATCAATGTCTGCTTTATCCAAACAGGAAGCACATCTCATGTCCAGCCGATGTTTTCATGTGCCAAATTTTAGTAATCCCACCAGTAAATGTCCCAGCTGACTACACAAACATAAATGTGTAGAATCTACGGAATCTATTAATCCTATGTGGGATTCACCATGCTAAATAAGTCTCACATCCAACTTGAAACAACCCTGAAACATTTGCCCCAGTTGGGCTGGTTTTCAAACGTTCTTTTGTTAGGTTTCCTATTTTTAGACCATGCTCGCTACCTCAGTTTGTATGAGTTACATGTAGTATGGCAAACTTGGGGTTGAGGGTTCATTGGTTGTACCTAGACCTTTCCATAGTCTAGATTTATCAATGAATTGTATTCCAGTTGGGCTGCTGAAATTGATCTGACCAGTACTGTATTTCTTGTTTCCAGTATTTTGATATATAGATATCTATAGATATATATCAGAAGTAGAACCAGCACTTTTGAAATAAAAACGAAAAGCAGATATTTTCTATTGTAGGTTTTTTTTTGATCGGGAAGGGTTGAGAACAGTTGTCAAGTTTATTGCAGTCTATATCCCTGTTGGTCATTTCTGGCCAAAAGCATGCAGTACATCCCTTTTTTGTCCACACAAAAAAAAAATGCTGCAACTACAGAAAAGTACCAGTTGGTCTGCCACAAATCCATTGACAAAACATTGTTTTCAGCCCTCCTAGTGAGGTGGGGGGGGGGGGGGTTGTAGTCCAGCAAAAAGAACTAGGCAGGGTTGACAACACTGTTAAGTATTTCAGAGCAGCAGAAGTACTGTGTTGTCAGATCAACCAGGAAGTCAGGAGGACTCCAAATTTCTGGCAGGTTGTTTTTTGAGAAGAAATAACGCATAGGACAATGCTTATGTTTGCCCATATGTTTTGGTTAGAGCGATTTCCCATTACGTCTGTCGCAATCGTATTGCCTGGACATATCCTATTGGGGATATACACAGCAGTAAATACCTGACAGATTAATTACAACCTTACTCGCTCTATCCAGAATAAGACAAGTAGAAGGTTTTGGCTGGATTTACATATTAAGTCTCATTCCTCTTTGCCATTGATTAAGATGCCAAGCTGCAATAGGAGAAAAGTAATGTTTAGAGAAACATGGATATTATGTGTTAATGTTGTAAACCAATCTGTGAACACAACTTTTTTTTCCCTAATATATTTTTGTTCCAAACCTTCTGTAACTTGGTTTGCTTCTAATTCACCATTTGGATATACATGCTACATATTTCCTACAATGTTACTATATAGAATTTGATCTTTCACCCTTGGTATTCATTTCCTGTAACTTTGGACAGATTCAGTCAGCAGTATGCAAGACACACCACGAGCTACAATTTGTGCCATCATTCACTTGCAAGGGTGGTTGAATTGATGCCATTTCTAAAAGCCAAATGAGAAGCACAAGCATCTTTAATTTAGGTTGGCCCCTTAAATACATAAACCAACTTTAGATTCTCATCTGAGTGACACCGGATCAAGTCAATTTGTTTAAACATTTGTGATTTTTAAATCTGCATTCACAGTTCTTGAAAAGACAATTGATGCTTATCAGTGTTTTAATTATCTTTTTTTTTTTTTTTAAATCAAACTGGTTTGTGAAACTAATCACAAGTGTTATTGTTAACAATTTATTCTGTTGACAAATTTTAGCAGCAATTCCATTTGTTTTCTTTCTATGCATTGGAATTTATTTTTACATTCCACCTTTATATAGATCTAAAGTTTTAGGGAATATGTAATAGAAATAAAATGCACAATTTATAAGAATTATATTTGTAAAATTCTATTGTGAATAAAGGCTTTTATTCTACATGAAGTTTTGGTGGTGTATTGATTATATTGATGAACAATTTGACAGGAGATCTTTATCGTAACAGCACAAATATTTTTCTCCCCAAGATTGGAAAATGTTTTTACCATATAAATTAAAATTGAGCAAAATCCTTAACCAATTGTAGACCGTGAGGGGAATTTATCAAAACTGGAGCAGCTGCCCAGGGCAACCAATCAGCTTCTCTCCAGTTTGTTCAGTTAAGATTTGAATATGAAAGACTAAAGCCAATTGGTTGCCGTGCAAATATATTGTCTGCTCCAGTTTTGAAAAGGTCCTCATCGTGCGTGCTATCCCCCTCCCTTTTTTGCCAAATATTTAGTTTACAGCAGCTATTAGGTCCCATTTGCACTTGTATGCATTGGTACAATGCAGGGCCATCCATTTGTAATGGAATTCTAACACCCCTTGCTGACACACCGCAATGCACTAACTGGGAATAAGCTGCCAAAAATGCTGCATGCATGATTTTCGGTCTGATGGACATCCCACTGAAATAAATAAGCTGCCCTAGCACAATGCACATGCGTGTATCTTACTGCAGCACATTAAACTGGTGTGAATGGGCCCCTAAAGGTGCGCTGTGTTTATAAGAAGATGGATACAAAGAAACGTAACATTGTTACTTATGTATTTACTGTTTGTACTTTTTATTCTGCATGTATGAACGGGATGAGCTTTTGATCTGCATATGAAGGCAGTAAACTCCTGTTCACAGCTAGGAGGTTTGTTGCATAAAGCCAAGCACGACAAAACACTCCAGACAAGGAATCCCATTCACTTGTCTTGAGCTCAACAAAATGCTTTCAAATGCTCCCTGTTCACACCTGAGCATCTTGTTGCAAGCTGGAAAAAGTAAATGGGCTACTTTTTGGCAGATTACAGTGCTTTTTGGTTCCCTAGACTTCAATGGTAAACACCTGTAAATGTGCATTTCAAGCGTTTTGTCACAAAGTTTCCCATTGAAGTCTATGGGACCAAAAAGTACCTCATTAACTTTTTCCAGCAACAGGTGTTTTTCGGCTTACCACAAAACACTGAGGTGTGAACAGGGGCCATAGAAATGAATGGGATACTCTGTTTTGAGCGTTTTGTCACGCTTGAGACGAGCTAATGGGATTCCTTGTCTTCAGCGTTTTGTCATGCTTAGCTTAGAGTGACAAAACACCTAGGTGTGAACAGGTACTTGGTGGTTTTTTGGGGTTTATTTTTTTAATGTCCTATGTAACCCTTTATTAACCCTTAACCTACCCTAATTAACCCCTTAACTCCCCCTACCTAATATTTTCCTTTTAAATATAAATAATTAGAAAATCTATGTGTATGTTTCTATATAAATATTTGTCTGGTATATATGGTGTCGAATTGCGGGTGTGCCCAAATTGTGTAGGAGGGGTTTAAAGGTAAAATAAACCATGAGCCTACTCACTGTATACATGGCACACATGCCACACTCCTTTTACTGACAAAGTATGCTTTAATCATTGTTCCACAAGTGAGAATCTACCGAACACAAACCTCAGCATACTATGTTTTTATTTTTTATTTTTATCTTTTAATCCAACTTGTTGATCATATGATTTTCTACACAGAGTACAAGGTAAATAAGTACTGGGGCCAAGAATTGGCATCGCATACAGTACAGGGGTCATGAGTCGGTATTGCAGAGAGTGCAGGGTTCAGAATGTGCAGTTGTCAGGAGTGTGCAGTGGTAAGGCGAATGTATTGCACATAGTAGTGGGTCAGGAGGGAATATCACAAAGTTCAGAGAGCAGAGGTCACGAGAGCATATTGTACTGAGCCCCCCAGCCCTTCACATCAATATATACCCCCCTTCCACACTTCTTCCTCAGTTCAGACCTTCCTACCTCATACCCACTTACCAGACCTCAGATGAGGGCTCAGGTGCAGTTTATTTAGGGGAAGCCCTCTCTTCTCCTGGGTCATATGATGAGGAGGTGGTTAGTTTAGCCTTCCAAGGCTCTCAACTGCCACTAACTAGTCAGATGCGGCACTGCAGTGCTAATGAAATAGTCGCTGCAGCAACAGCATGTGAAAAAAAACATGTCAGGTGGTCGCAGTGCGGGACCCAGGGCGCCCCACAAAAGATGTAGGTCATGTGCCCTGGGTTCCTGGCACTAGTGCCTCCCCTACTTTAGTATGTCAAACTGTAACCCTGCAGCAAGTCTTGTGATTTACACACATGACACAATTCACAGACAGGTGCTACTCTACTTTCCAGATCCAGTGATAAATTCCTATCACCTCTCTCCTAGCTTGTTCATTGGTCAGTTTCATCACCCTGTCCATTTTACAGAGGGGAATCTAGGAAGCGGTAACCCTTTCCTGGTTTTGCAGTGTGACAAAGTAGCTGAACAAAATAAGTAGCCATGGAACTGGATAAACTGCATCTCTGCCTTCTGTATGCAAACAAAGAGAACTGTGCCCCCTTGTTAAGCCATCCCTAGCAGAAATGGGCTACAACAGGAAAGCAGACAATAGGTAACAGTCAACAGATTGGCTCGCAACACCAATGCAAAAATGGGAATGGTGTCATCGTTTCCCTAATAGCACAATGCAAAATATGAACATTATCCAGGGGACAGGATTCTATATAAAGGTTGTACAAGCAAAAAACAATTATTAATAAAGTATTATTAAATAAAGTTGATGTTTTACTTGCATTCCTTTGAATTTACTTTGCCAGAAAATATAGCTTGGTTTAAAGTCTCTTCATACTCCTTGCTATATATCTCATTTAAAGATGGCAAGTATAAATAACAGCAATTTTTAAATAACCATGATAGCCTGTACAAGGTTTAATATGTCTTGCAATGCAGGTGCACACGGCTGTTTCTTATACTGGCTGCTTTTTTATTATTGTAGCAATTAAATAATTTAACTTCCTGTCATGTTATTAAAGATCATGCACATTATATGATGGTGTACGGTCACAAAATATGCTTAGAGAAGACTATCCATTACATCTCATTTTAAACTTACAAATGATTCCATTCACTTCATTTTGATCTATCATGGTTATGGAGGATTCCCACCATGCATTTTCAAAAGTGAAGGCATTGTTTATGTTCTTATAATGCTTTTTAATGAGGAAATACTTGAGTAATTGTATTTACTTTTACTATTTTCTCATTTTTTATACACATTTATGAGAGCTTATCAATGTGCAAGAAAATCCATTTACAGTGTTGTCCTTTGACATCTAACATAACACCAGAAATTCGTAGTTTAGGATTAAGTTGTAAACTATAAATGCAGGAATGCTTTTAATTTTCCTTATAATCCACAATTTACATTCAGCTAGCAGAGGCATGAGTAGGGCAATTTGCCACTTTACATTCCAGCATGTGAAGCCCTTGTGACACTTAACTTTTAAATAACTTTTGCTAGGAAGCACTGCTGTGTTATAATACAGTCTGGCAGTCTATGAAATGTGAAAATAAGAGCTGCTTATCTTCTTAAATGTGTTAGTGGCGTTACCTTCTTGCTTATATTAGAAGTAACAGAGGGCAGCAGGGGCTAACCTTGCGTCTCTTC